GTCCCTGCCTGTGGCAGGGGTTTGGAACTCGATGGTGCCTTCCAACCTGAACCATTCTATAATTCTAGGATATAAGCAGAGGAGTATCCTGAAATGTATTAAGATACTGTACTCCTGCCTATAACATTGTTTCTGGACTGTTCTATAAAAAGATGGAATTTCCTCTTCAAAAAGGAAGGTGAAATGTGTGCTAAAGCTCATCCAACTCTGGAAACCCTGTCTTGGAGAAAGGAATTAAAAACTAAATGCACAGTCTATCCAGTTAATCATGAACAACTGAAAAATGAGACTTGATAGTAACTTATATGAAACTGAAGAGAAAGAGAGTTTCCATGTCACAGCAAACTACACGATAATGCCAGTGCTCTCAAAATGGTTTAGTCCTGTTTGGTCCCAAAACATGGTGCATCCACAAAAAAAGAGAAAACACAGAATAATGAATTAAGGGATGATTTAGCTTGGTAGATTGCATTTATTTCCCTCTTCAAAGGTTTTTGAAAAGGGGCAGAATTTTTTTGTTTTTTAAAAAACTGCTCAAGCTCAAAAAGAGTTTATTGAGCAAATACAGAAACAATTGCATAATAATCTCTGTAATGCCAGTTTGGGGGAATATAAAAGTTCATTTAACCTCTAAAATCAATGCAATACATCTTTTAATCCCTGTACTATTCTCAGACCTAGTCCCCACTCATAACAAAATCAAGGAAAGACGCATAATTTCAATGGAAAGTGGATTGGACCTAAAACATTTTATAAGGTGCATGATGCCGCGTGTTTAATGACCCATAGGTATGTAGTTCAATTCTGTAGTAAGTGTTCAAGAAAATCTTGCAAACAGTTGGTAAAATAAATATAACTGTCATTTCTCTCAAATTGTCATGGAATGCACTCCAGCTGTATTTATTATACACATTTTCCCCATGTGCTATGTGCTTGCATTCTTTTATGATGAACGACATTGCCGTGTGTTGGAGTTTTCTTTCTTGTTCAAACCAGGAATGTGTAGGAGGTTATTTGAGGACTAAATACTGTAGGGCCTTCTGTTTTGTCCTTCGTAGTTTTGAGGTTGTGGCATGGAGCTGTGGCTGAATGGTTTGGTTTAGGACAGAGTTTTAACAGACACAAAACAGAGCCTGCTAATGCATCAGTGCACTCATGCCTTGCTGCCTGCTTTGCTATAGGATCTAGGAGGATCCTGTTTTGTCTACGAAGATTAAAGACCAGATCCCCATCTGTGGTTGTCTGACTTCTCATATGAAGTGTCCGGGCATAAACTGTACTTTTCTGGTAAGGTAAGGTGTGGGTCTGGGCCATGCCTAACACTTGACATTATGGCAGCAGTAAATAGTGCATTACTGTGAATCACTGCAGCTTCACTGAAATTAATGAACTTGGCTGTCACCCAAACCTGGAGAAGCATTCCACCCTAGGGAGGCCTCCAGGTCCATTAGGGAGCATAAAAGAAAGCAGGCTGATCCTGTGGTATGCAGCAAATGTAAAGATTCAGTTTCAAAAAAGGAAAGAAATGACACAACATGTAATGCCATAAAAGCCATATGCCATTGCATGGCATATTACTCACAAGGCGCAGATCTTAAGGGTGACGTGCATTTGTATTGCTGTTCTACCCTTATGTTGTGGCTGCACGCTAAACTTACAGGAAAAATGATAAAGGCAGGCAGCATGCAGCTTAAGCTTAATAAGAAAGTTTCAAAGGAATACAAGAAGTTAATTTGTGGGGAAACCTTTCTGTTTCTGGTTTGTCCTGTGATTGCTGTTTTCTCCTGAATATTTTGGATTTTGAACTTTGTTCCACAGTTTTTCTTCCAATTGAAACAAAAACGGAACCAGCATCCCAAATCTCCTTTTCCCTGATGATCCTCTCCCTTCCTTAGATGTGTGCTGTTACCACATGGCCAGCTTAGCTTTCTGATTTTCTTTGATTTCTCTCTCTTGCATTCCTGGCTGCACAGCGGGTCACTTGGAGAGTGTTTCCTTCTTTGACTGGTAAAAGGCAGTGGTTAGGAAACTTCCCTGGGATATGAGTGCAATGGCTTCCCACTATTGGGCAAGTGCCCTAATCACTTGGCTATTATGCAGAAACAGCACTTTTCCCATTGTCTGTAATGAAATCGGCGCCAACATTTCCTTCTCCGCCCATGATCTCAGTGTTGAGGGTAAATACTTCAAGAAGGCATCCCCAGGATCAACCTCCTTAGGGATACAGGCAGAACTTAAGGACCCGTCTGCCTAAATCTAGCTTTCAATAGAGCAGAAGATGAAGTGCTCTTCAACTGGAAGGACACAGTGTTGTTCTGGATGACTGTCAGGTACATCAGCAAAGTTTCAACCTTTTAATAAGCCATGTCTAACGTTAACTACAACTCTCAACAAAGGGCTGTAGGAGTAGATTTGACTGTAGGTAAGTTGACAGGAAGTGGAGTTGGAAGTTGAGTGTGCGGTCAAGGTGCATTTACTGATGCAGTCTTATCAGAGAAAGTATGTGCTCGGTCTCTAAGAAGGACTGTCTGCCTTGAGGATGCTCTGTCCAGATGATGGGATGAAGCACCAAGATCAGCTTAACTGGAGGATGGATGCTGGTGAAGCAGAGAAGAGAAGAGCTCGTGCTCAGATGATTGACAGTCATAATTTAATTATCCAGGTTATAACTAGCATCTAGGGCCATATCTGAGTGCTCTTAGCAGGAAGTGTAAAACACGTGCTCATCTACATCTGGGATGGTTTCACACAGAGAAAGAAGTCAGGAAACTTCCAGAGGACCCTGGGAAGGCACGATTCAGCCACATGTAAACTCAGCCTTTTCTACGGAGGAAGAACACAGTTGTACTGTGGCACTGGTCTCTGCCAGCCTCTTCTTGATACTGATTCAAGTATCCCAAGCATCCCAAGTATCAAGGAAACCCCGTGGCTGTTTCCAGGGAGGAAGCAAAAGGCAATGTTTTCTACAAAAACAAACTCCTTGCTCTGTACCTAGATACGATGTAGGATCCCATGTTGATGTAGCATGAGTCATGTACTCCACATGCATTACAGCACTCGGTAAGTGGGCAGTGAAGTGAATTTGCTGCCTCGTGAGTCATCAGCTTCATGAGAGTGGGCCAAATCCTGCCTAAGCTGATTTTTCAGGCATTTCTAATGGGCAAATATGGCATGGACAAATTATTTTGGGTTTGTTTGTGCTCGCTGTGGCTGCAGCTTTGGCTGAGGCCCCACGATATTAGGCCTAACATACCCAACGAGTTTTACTTTCTGTCATCCCAGCCTTGACATGCTTGTCTAGGGAGGTTTCATCATCTGGTTCTCTGAAAGCAGTTTCCATTTCTCTTTACATTCCAACAGAAATGAGGAAGTGAATGGAAATACCAAACAACATAAGTAAACTATACTATTTCCTTTGCTGTTAGAGCTGCTTTGGCATCAAACTATGGTTCTGGTGAGTGTTAAATTCAAAATACGTCTTTTTCCCTTCCACTAGTTTTACTTTTAGTGTCATTCAGTGATATACAACAGTTGTAATTCTCTGTTCTGCTGTTCCAAAACTTCACCTGGAACCTCACACAGCCATAGAAATCCTGCCACTTTCTGAAACAGACCTGAAATATCCCCAACCAAGTTTCACAGGAGCTATGCCCTACCCATGCTCTTTAAGTTTAGGACCACACATGGGTCAGATGCCCCCCTCCTTTCTTTATAGAGGACTGGAGAAAGATGGTACTTAGCTCCCTCCCTTGGCATGAGGCTTATGAGGCATACAAAACATGGCAAGTTTCCTAAGAGGAAGACAGCCAGCTCAAGCTGGACTGGATGAGACTTCGCGGCACTGCTCCTTGGTCTTGGCATCTCCCAGAACAGCCCTGCTCTGTGCCAGCTGTCATTGCTGCTGCTATCTCAAGGAGCAGTGTGTGCACCACAGTGCCTGGATAAGAGTGGGAGCTCCCCCAGTGACTCATGAGGGTGTTGTATTTAAAAGCTGTAGCTATGAGGGTGTTTAAAAGCTTTTACTTCACATGAAAATCAGCAGCCAGTGCAACTCCCCCTCCAAAACAACCCAATCCAAACCAAACATGAAGACCCCCACAAAAAGAAGACTGGTTGCAAAGCATAGGGGTCAGACCATGGGATGCTGTGGATGCGGAGGCACCTGCAGCACCCTGTGGATGTGCCCACAGCACCCTTTGGATGCGGAGGTGCCCACAGCACCCTGTGGATGTGGAGACGCCCACAGTCCCCCGTGGATGCAGAAATGCCCACAGAACCTTATGGATGCAGAGGCACCCACAGCACCCTGTGGATACGCCCACAGCAATTTATGGATGTGGAGATGCCCACAGCACCTTGTGGATATGGAGGTGCCAGGAGCACCCTTTCTTGAGGCTGGGGTGCTGAACACTCAGCTGCTTTGTGCCGGGCACAGGACTGCCTCTTCCCGTGCCCCTTGGAGAGAGCAGGATCAGACTGACAGTAGCACAGTCTGGCCCATCCAGCTTTCGAGGACCCCATTGGAAGGTGTCCCTGCTCACTGCAGGGGAGTTGCACTAGATGATAACCTTTGAAACTCCCTTCCAACCCAAACTATTCCGTGACTCTATGTGCAGTCCAGACAGTAGTTTCTTGGGCAGCCTCTTTGTTTTCCCCCGCACTGAAGCAGAGCTGCAATCACGGCTAGTAGCTCTCTCACTCCCTCCGGCTTCTTGTGTCGCGTTTCCCCCGTTTGGGGCAAAGGGAAACCCCTCGGACGGGATTCTCCGTCGGGAAAACACGCTTTTCCCGGTGGGGGGATGCGAGGAGCCGGCCCCATCGCTCTACAGCCGAGTCCCTGGCGGCCCGGAGCCCCGTCGGGGCTGTCCCCTGCCGAGCCCCCCGCTCCTCCGCCGCTGGTCCGGGGGAGCCCCGCACGCAGCAGACAAAGGGGCAGCGGGGCCGGGATGGGGGGGCTGGAGCGCGGCGGGGCCGGAGCGCAACGCCCCGGCGGCCGGAAGCCCGGGCGGGGGGTGAGGGGTGGGGACAGGGGAGGACCGGCTCGGCTCGGCCCGGCTGAAAAGGAGGGCGAGCCCGCACATCGCCCCCCCCACACCCCCGGGTGCTGCCCCGCACCATGGCTCTGTCCTGCAGGAGCTGGCTGGCCAACGAGGGGAGCAAACACCTCTTCCTGGTAGGGGGCTGCACCCCGGAGGGGGGGGGGGGAGGCGGTGGGGGTCCGTCCGTGGCGCTGGGCCCGGGGTAGTCGGGGAGGTCCCGGTGGTGCTCGATGTCCAGGTTACCGGTTCGCGGTGCTAGGCACGGGGGGACACGAGTGCGCCGTGTCCCGGAGAGTGCGGGCGTCCGCGGGCATCGCGGTCGGGACGTTCGCTCTTTGTTAGAGAAGGTCTGGGGGAGAAGATGCGTCTTCTCTGAGGTCAGATTCTTCCTGCCTCTGTCTTTGTCTCTTTGTTGCTAGTTTGTATTCCCTGGGTCTTTGACTGCAGTGTAACTACAGATCTGCAGTAGCGTTCGGTATGCGGGGGGTTGGTTTGCCAACTCTCGGTAGTCACAGAGGTAAAGTTTGTGAAGTCGAATGAAAATGAAGATTTCTCACCTAGGGGCTATTCCATTTAACATTTTAATGCATTTTACGCCAAAAGCTTGATGGTTTTTTCCCCTGTTCCATGTGCATACGTTTATGAAACTGCAGGGATGTGACGGTTCTGAATGAAATCAACACTGGGAAGTTTGCACGTGTAACTTGCGCTTATGATCTCTTGTTTCTCTTTCAGTTTTTCTGGCTCTCCCTCAATGTATGGTTCTTCTGGAAAACCTTCCTGCTCTATTATCAAGGGCTGCAGTATTACTATTTGCATCAGATGTTAGGGGTGAGTGACCCGGACGTTACTTTTTGCCCTGGAAATTGGGATGCTGGGAGGTGAGGAAAGGGCAGAATGCATTTGGTAATCAAAGATGACACAAACTGCCTGTTTAGCTCTGCAGAGTGGGAAAAGATCAAGTAGGAGATCACTGGGATCCTGTTGACAGTTGTTTAGGGGTAAAAAGTGAAGTGTTGAGAAGAAAAAGCATCAGTTAAGTATGGAGCAGCTCTCCTTCCCCCTCCTCACTTCCCTCCCAGTGTCCCCAGCTGCAGACAGGCTCACAGGAACACCAACATGCTCAACAGAGGACTGGAACTCAGATTGTGTCGTCAAAAGCATTAGCCATGCTTGTTGCTGAAGGAATTCTTTGGATAAGTTCTTTTCAGCCTTTGTTATCCTCATAGATCCTCTGTTCTGTGTAATTCACTGTAATCTATATGCTTTCAGTTTTGGTATTTAATATAGCATCAGCATGGAGTCTGAATGGTCATTAGACCATTTTGATTTAGCAAGGGTAACATCCACCACTACCAGAATTACCCATAAAGATCATTTGGGGAAGTGAGATACTGGCCTGTCTTGTGAAGTTATCCACAGCTATGCCATTGCAGTTGTCTGAAATGGTTTCTATCCAAAGGGATAGAGTAAGGGTTAACAGCTCTCTGAAAATGCTTTAGGGCTGCTCACAATTTGAGAATCCAGGAAAAAGTGGATCAATAATGTGATGCTTTGTAGCACCATGCCATGCTCAGGGGTGGATTTCAATTGGAAGCTGACATAGGGTTAAAGCAGAGGTGATGCACATCTTAACCTGCTGTAGAGCCTCTGGGTTTCACCTTTGGTAGATCCAGGATGTATTTTTTCCTATGGTTGATATCATTGCCGTAGCTAGTGAGTTGTGTAAGCTTCTGTGAACTAAGTTCACCTGATCTACTTTTAATTTTTCTTATGTCTGACTCAGATGGGTTCAAGAAGTGAATCTTAGCAAAAGCAGTGTGAAAACAAGGGAATGAAAATACGTAAATCCTTCCTGATGATCGCTTTCTTGAAAGACACATCATGAGAACGTGTTCAGTATTACTGTACTCCCTGATGGCTTTGTAGACCAGGGCATCCATTTGAAAACTGTGTTTGCTCCTGGCAGAGCTAGTGGGTTACTTATAAAGCAGATGTGCTTGAGTCAACACGTTGGACCAGATTTTCAGCTGGTGTGGTGGATTGACCCTGGCTGGATACCTGGTGCCCCCCAAAGCTGCTCTGTCACCCTAAGCTGGACAGAGGAGAGAAGATAGATTGAAAAGCTTGTGGGTTGAGATGTGACAGCAAGCAATCACTCACCAGTTACCACTGCGGACAAAACAGACTCAGCTTGGGAAATTAGTTTAATTTGTTACCAATCAGATCAGAGCAGGATAATGGTAAGACCGAATCCTAAAAAAACATCTTTCCCCTTCCTCTTCCCGGGCTTAGAATTACTCCTGGATTCTCTACCTCCTCCCTGGCAGCAGCACAAGGGGATGGGGAATGGGGTTGTGGTCAGTTCATCACACATTGTCTCTGCCACTCCTTCATCCTCAGGGGAGGGTTCCTCATACTCTTCCCCTGCTGCAGCCTGGGCTTCTCTCTCCATGGAGCCACAGCTCCTGCCAGAAGCCTGTTCCAGTGCAGGTTTCCCATGGGGTCACAGTCTCCTTTGGGCCTCCTCCTGCTCCAGCCTGCAGTCCTCCATAGGCTGCAGGTGGAGATCTGCTCCACCATGGACCTCCGTGGGCTGCAGGGGCACAACCTGCCTCACCATGGTCTGCACCATGGGTTGCAGGGGAATCTCTTCTCCTCCTCCTGCACTGACCCTGGTGTCTGCAGAGCTCTTGCTCTCACATGTCCTCACTCCTCTCTCACAGATACTGTCGTGCAGCAGATTTTTCCCCTTCTTAAATAAGCTATCTCAGAGGTGCTGCCACCATCACTGAAGGGCTCAGCGCTGCCCAGCGATGGGTCTGTCTTGGATCCGGCTGCATTTGCCCTACAGCACATGGAGGAAGCTTCCTGCACCTTCTCACACAGGCCACTCCTGTAACCCCCCCACTACCAAAACCTTACCATTCTAACCCAATCCAGCTGGTATCAATCAGCAGAGTTCTTAATTCTGAAGACTTGTCTGCCTTGTACCAGCTCATTATTTGTGGTTTGTTTTGGTTTTCTTCAAAATGAAAGGCACATGCAAAGTAACATTATGTGTGCTCAGAACCTGTGAGATGATTCAAGCAACAGATTCCTTGTCTTGGTCAAGAGATGAGGACCAGGAGACTGTGTGTGTGGGTTTGTCTTACTGTGTCTGCAACTGTGGGAAAGAATACCAGAGCAGTTTAGGGACTTTACAAAATGAGGAGGAAAGTGAAGAGCCAAGTCCATAAGATGCTTTGGGTCAAAGCGTGTCTTAATATCATCCTTAGACCCCAGAATTAGTTTTTTCCCTTCTCTTCAATGTATTTGTGAATGTGTTTAAATCATGATTATTTTGCAGAGGCTGGGAAAACTGAAACCAATTTTAGTCTCTTCAGAAAACCATACATGTACCCATGCTACTGCTGCTGTTCCCTTTCACAGGGATTTTTGCTCCTCTTTTTTTTTCCCTGTATTCGTTTGAGAGGGCCCATGGCCCGTCTGCGTAACCATTCTCCTCCCCGTTCTAGAATCATAGAATAGTTAGGGTTGGAAAGGACCTTAAGATCATCAAGTTCCAGCCCCCCTGCCATGGGCAGGGACACCTCGCTCTAAACCATATCACCCAAGGCCTCGTCCAACCTGGCCTTGAACACTGCCAGGGATGGAACATTCACAACTTCCTTGGGCAACCCATTCCAGTGCCTAACCACCCTAACAGGAAAGAATTTCCTCCTTATATCCAATCTAAGCTTCCCCTGTTTAAGTTTGAACCCATTACCCCTTGTCCTACCACTACAGTCCCTAAGGAAGAGTCCATCCCCAGCACCCCTATAGGCCCCCTTCAGATACTGGAAGGCTGCTATGAGGTCTCCACGCAGCCTTCTCTTCTCCAGGCTGAACAGCCCCAACTTTCTCAGCCTATCTTCATATGGGAGGTGCTCCAGTGCCCTGATCATTCTCGTGGCCTTCTCTGGACTTGTTCCTACAGTTCCATGCCCTTTTTAAGTTGAGGACACCAGAACTCCACACAACATGAGGTTGAGTGGCTTGCAGGCCCTCTGTGTGCTATTTCTTGATGTTTGAATATTTTGAGATTTAGATGAAAGTTCTTGATTTATAATTCAGCAGGTTTTGGGTCTTTTGTTTCTTTTTTTTTTTTTTAAATCTTAACAGAATTAACTTTTTTACACATACTTTTGTGAAAATTGATTCCTTTTTCCAGTCAGTTAACAAAAAATGGCAAGAAGTTATAGTGGTTTTTTGCATTAAAAAATCCTCCTATTTTTCAGTGAGGTCTTCTAAGGAGTTCTTTTCTGTTTTCGTATGCTCCAGTAGCCTAAAACCTCCTTGAGAGCTGCACTTGCAGCACTGAAAGATTTACCACAGATAATTTTATTGTTTACCATGTAACATGATGGAGAACAAGAAGAGTTGCTGTAGGGAATCGGATTGTGCTGTGAAATGAGATCTTGGACTGAATATCCTGAATATATTCAGTTCTGCCACATTTTCATGCCGTGACTTTTCTTTCTGATGGGAAGAAGAAGGAATGAGGTTAGTCTTTCATTCAGTGGTTCACTTCAGCCTTCCACAGGAGGAGGCTCAGTTTAATTCTTTTCTGGTTGCATCCTCTGTGATGCTGAACAAGATACTTAGCACAGGATTTTATCATCATTTCGGTACGTAACTCTCAGGTTTTCAATTGCAATCTTTCTGATCCCTAATTTTATACTTGTGAAAAGGTACCATGAGCCTGGTGGTGTCCTGGAAGGGCAAAGAGAATAAATAAGTTGAAGGCCTGTGCCAGGACAAACTTAATCAGCCTATTCTATGCCACAAAATCTAGTGGGTAAATTTATGTTGGGTTAAGTGTCTTTGTTTCGTTTGGGTCCCACAGCCACGTTCCCACTGTGGAATCTCCGTCCCTGGAGGTTTTAAAAACCCAATGGGGCAAAACCCTGAGCAAACTTAGCCTGAGTTTTGTGTTGAACCTCCTTAGAACAGGAGCTTGGAATAGAGACATGCCAAGGTCCCTTCCAACCAGCATTGTTCTGTGATTATATGATTCTTACAGTGCAAGTTCAACCAGAACCTAATGGATATAAAGACCTTCCCAGTACTTTTGCTTTGATGAACCCTCCCTTTGGATGCTTAATTGCTTTTAACACTGCAGACCATATTCTTGCTGCATGAATGCATTCATTGCGACTGGTTCAGGAATGTGATTCAGGTGAAGAATCTCAATTTTTCATAATTTAATAAATGTTAACTTGTGGGCTTACATTGCTTAAAAGGCATGGATTTGTTATAAAAGAGTGTGGCAAAAAAGGAAGGAGTATTCTGATCTCCATGTTCATGATAGACATTACAAGATGAAGTAGGCATGAATTAGAGGAGGGAGGATTCATAAACTACCTGACATCACTCCAAAATTTTCATTGTTGGAGGTTTTGTATCTGTTCAGTCAGATAAATTGTCCAGGTGATTCCTTTTTTTGTGGACTTCAAGATTTCTCCCTTCAGATGGGTTTGGCTGTATTTTTTTCCAGCTTTACTTGCTTCTGACCCACATATTCAGGCCTGAATTCAGTACTGGACTTACTATAGAACTTAAATGTTGCTTTTAGCAGCATTTAATGAAATACCTGTTTTTTTGTTGCTTGGGTTCCCCATGAACAGAAAGTACTTTGGGCTCATCTTGTCATGGCATAAAAGGTTTCACCCTATTCACTCTCTAGTCCCTGCTGGAATAACTCTAATGTAGTCAAATGGATTTTAATGCAAGCGATAAGCTTCAGACCAAAGTGAAGAAAATGCATCCTGAGAAGGATCTCACTGGGA